GAAACAGTGGTGGAGGTTGAGGAGGAACGGTTGGTGGATGTGGTGGTAAGAGTGGAGGAGATCGGCGGGGGGGTGTTGCTAGAGGCGGCTGTGGAGGAGGGAGTGGTTTGAGCTGTGGAGGAGGGAGGTGCAACCGTGGTGACGACTGTGATGGAGGGGTTGTCCCTTCGAGCGTGGTGCTGGGGTCGGATATGGACGACATGGTGGCCTTTTATGTTGTCCAGAGAGGTTTGGAAGGTGTTGAATGCGTGGAGGATGGCAGAGAGGTCGGAGGTGGTGGCGTTTGCTGGTGGTTGTTTGCCTGCGAGGTTGCCGGCAATGCTATCGACTGAGTCGGTGCGGGTGCAAGACATGTTGATGGAGGATGCGGTCCAGTCGGGGGAAGAGGGGGTGGAGGATGCGGCCGGAACGGATGTGGAGGGTGTCGCAGCAGCGGTGGCGGCGGCGGGGGAGATCTTGGTTTGGCGTGGTGGCATGAGGAGATGGGGGGGACAATTCCTATTTACAAGAATAGAGTGTCATCAAGTGATTTAGCAATGAAGGTAGCAGAGAATCACAGGCCAAGAATTAATTTTGAATAAATTAATTTGAATTTATTCGAAATTGATTCGCGAGTGTAGTTTCAAGAAAATACAAAAGCGAAATTTTCATGAATTTCCAAATGTGCAAGGAAGATGAGCAATAGTGAACTTCAGCAATCAAACAACATCATACATATGAGTCCAGATAGTCTTGACCTCGAACCAACAGCAGAATTGCATCACCAGATTCACCAAATAAGAACACACCAAGCGTTCATAATTGACAATGCTGAAATAGTCCCATCATCATCAACGAAGAACCAGAGTTGATATCCTGTCTGGCGCTCGGCGCCCAGACTACATGTGGCAGATCCTATCTAGCCTATACTACGAAGCCGAAAGATGACATCAACAACATTCCCGAAGTACGAGCATATGGCGACCAATGTCGCATGCTTCCAGCACCAGGTATGTCTCGCGCTACACTCACAACCTCGTTCCCCAACTCACAGATGCCACTAGCACCCAAGGAGCACCATGCGCCTCACCCAACTTACAGCAACGCAGCTCGACTATGGCTGCGTGCTCCTTCCCTACTCGCCCGTGAGAGCGTAGGCGCCAGCCAGCAAATAGCGCAGCCGCAGCGCTTGCGCAGCATGCAGCCAGCACCCGAATGTCGAATGAGGAGGCAGGCCCTTTCCTATATCGAATTGGCCTGCCTGCGTCCAGTCCCAGGAAGCTTCCAGTAGGCCTGGTAGCCTGAAGCCCAGCACGACGTGAGCAGGCCTTGGGCATGAGGTGGTTGCATGTGCCCAACTGCCTTCAGCGTGTGTTTGGCCTGGTACCCGTATTCAGCCCAGGGCCTGCTTCATATACATTCACACAGGCGGCCCAGGGCCTGGGTTCACTCAACCAACTGGCGCTGCGCAACTGCCTGAATTTCCCTGAGTTGCGTGGTGGCTAGAAAAGGGCCCTGAGGGCCTCGTCGAGCCAGCCTTCACTTAGGGCGGCCGACGGGCTGCAAAATTGGAGCCTTATGAGGCTCTTAGAGGCAGTGGCCTCGCATTCCCTCCTCCTCAGCTTCCACAGTCCTCTGAGAAGCTCAATCTTCGATCATAGGGCGCTTTCCCTTCTGCAGAGATCTCTCATATTGAGTTACAACTTGAGGTGCGGTCTTCATGAGCTCTTCTTTGGTGAACCAGAGGTCCTCCTTCGGATCTGTGTGATGCCGAAACCGAACGCGGTACTGCAGCTTTGGTTTTGGAGGACGTCCCCTGCCTGCTGGTCTTGATACCGGCAGCTCTTGGTGATCGAAAATATCATCAATGTCCACCTCTCCGTCCATGGTTGGGGGCAGCATTGAGCGTCGAGATGGAAACTGGTCAGTTTCTTTGAAAGGTGCCAGCTTGGAGGCGTGAAAGATAGGGTAAGTACGAAGATGACCAGGAATCCGGATAACGTAAGATGGCCCATCCGGATCTGTCCCGACGATGTCCAAGACTTCCTAAGGTCCAAAGTAATGAGGCATGAGTTTGCGGGAGATCTCGTACTCCTGTCCCAGTTCTGAAGACTTAACCCAGACCCTGTCCCCAACCTGAAATGTAGAAGGTCGGCGGTGTCTGTTTTCGGACTCTATCATCGCGGCCTGTGCCTTCTGCATCTGTTCTACCGCCTGCTGCATTTTTTGTTCGTATCTGTACGCAAACTCTAATGTACTCGGTGCAGCAGTTGATTCGTTCTCAGGTAGGAGAAAATCAAGAGGTAGTCTAGGCTTGAAAGTCAGTAGTAGAGTGTTCGGGCTCACCCCAGTGGCACTGTGTACCGCATTGTTGTACAGACTGGCGATGAGAGCAAGCTTTTCATCCCAGTCCACCTGGTTGGGCTTGATGTAATGCCTCAACAGGTGTTTTACAACGCGGTTCGGTTGCTCAGCCTGGCCGTTGGCCTCTGGGTGATTCCCAAAAGTCGTTTGCAACTGAGTGCCCTGCTCTGCAGCAGCGGCCTTCCATAATTCGCTGGTAAACCTGACATCCCTGTCATTGACAATAGACTTGGGTAAACCAAAGTCTCTAACCCAGTTTTCTTTGAACATTCGGATTACGTACTCCGTTCTTGCTGTTTTCGACATGGCTACTAACCTAGCATACTTACTAAATCTATATCCACGATGACGAAGATGTGCCGCATCCCTCTCTTGCTGGTGATCAGAGTATCCATGAAATCCATGGACAGACTCTCACCAGACCGTTCCGGAATCGGAAGGGGCTTCAGAAGCCCAAGAGGGGCTTGAGTACGTGGCTTGTGTCATTGACACACTTGACAAGTCTCCACATACAACTGAGCATCTCGCATCATCGTGGGCCACCAGAACCGCTACAGCAAGTTGGCTGCGGTCTTCTTATACCCAAAATGGCCGGTGGCATCATGGCATTCTCCTAAAAATAAACTACGCAAAGACTCTCTATTTGGGACGCACAACCGTTTATTCCCGGCCTTCTCAAGAAACAGCAAACCGTTGACCAACTCAAACTCGGCGGAGGTCTTTTTGTCCTTCGCCTCGAGTCTGCGTATGATCTCCGACTTAAACTGATCCTCGCGATAGGCATCCACCAAAGAGCGAGTTACATCGTCCGTGAAGTCGAACTCAGTAATCAGCGCACCTGAAAAGTCAGGTCTACGCGACAAGGCATCAGCCACCTTGTTGTACTCCCCTTTGAGATACTGGGGGTCGAAGTCATATTGCTCAATGACTTCGATCCAATGCTTCAGAGCGTAAGAAAGTACGGGCTGAGTTCTCATCCGTCTCAAGGTCTGATGATCAGTCCTGAGGATGAAGAATCTCCCAAGGAGATAGTGTCTCCAATGGGTGAGAGCCTTGTACACGCTTCAGAGGTTGCAGGCCAATGCCTAGTTAGTTGTCCAGAGACTGCCTGTGTTAGCGTCTCTCTAGGCACCTCCCTCACATGCGTGGCAGAAGAGTTGAAGGAGAGGATGCCTGCCTGGGCCAAAATGAAGAAAGATAGTAAAGGACAACTAGTTTTAGTTGATGTAGAAGTTTTTAGAAGTAGAGTAGGAGCCCTTATAGATTTCGGGGCTACTCACAATTATATTAGCCGTAGAGTGCTGAAGAAGCTTAGGGTTAGAGGTCCAAAAGTTAGAAGACCCCATAGTTAGCGTCCTCACAGACAACCGCACTATGCGTGTTGAGGACTACGTAGAGGGAGTCCAGGCGTACTTTCGCCTAGAGAAAGATGGGAAGGTGGAAAAAGTTCTCCATTCCCTGACTTTCCTCGTACAGGATGACCTTCCTTTCGACATAGTCCTAGGCATGGACTGGGGAGAGGTAGAAGGGGCCACACTCCATTTGAGAGAGCACGAGTGTAGGCTCCCTAGCCCATCAGGCGAGGTTAAGACTGCCCGCTTGTTTCATGTGTCTGGAGTAGACAACTCCTTGGCACATTGCTGTCTCAGTGCTCCTGCGTTCGCGCGATTAGTGAGAAAGGAGCATTTAGAGGAGCAGGTCTTCATAGCCTATGTGAGGCCTGTCACTGAGCCTAAGAAAGAGAAACTCATAGATCCAGCCATTGCCAAGCTGCTGGAAGAGTTTAAAGACTTAACTGAGCCACCAACAGGAGTAGTACCGCGGCCGGTCCAGCACATAATAGAGATAGAGCCTGGCAGTAGAACTCCTAAGGGAGCAGTCTACATGATGTCCCCCAAGGAGTTAGAGGAGCTGCGAAAGCAGTAAGACGAGCTCCTTGAGAAAGGTTGGATTAGGCCCAGTTCGTCTTCTTTTGGAGCACCAGTTCTGTTTGTCCCAAAAAAGGAAGGAGAATTGCGTATGTGTATAGACTATAAGGGTCTGAATGCGATCACAGTGAAGAATGTTGAACCGCTGACCAGGATAGATGATCTTTTAGATCGGGTGCAAGGTTGCAGATACTTTTCGAAGATCGACCTGAAGTTCGGATATCATCAGATAGAGGTTCATCTTGATGACCAGTACAAGACTGTGTTCCGGACTAGATATGGGCACTATGAGTTTATAGTGATGCCCTTTGGACTAACCAATGCGCCTGCCACGTTCCAGCGCTGTATGAACGATTTGCTTAGGCCTTGGTTAGATAGATTTGTTGTAGTTTACTTAGATGACATCTTAGTATTCAGTAGGACCCTCCAAGAGCATCAGGGTCATTTGAGGCAGGTCTTGGAGAAGGTGAGGGAAGCTAACTTCAAGATCAATGCGAAGAAGTGCGAGTGGGCCAAGACACAAGTCTTGTACTTGGGCCACATCTTAGACGAAGATGACGTCAAGCCTGAGGACAGCAAGATAGCGGCGATTAGAGATTAGCCGACGCCCCGCACGTTGACTGAGTTGCGATCGTTCCTAGGGTTAGCCAACTACTATAGGAAGTTCGTGAGGAACTTCTCGACTATCGTCGCTCCCCTTCGCAGGTTGCTCAAGAAAGAGGCAATCTGGCAGTGGGATAAAGACTGTACGTCTGCGCTAAAGAAGTTAAAGCGCCCATTGATAGAGTATCCTGTCCTCAAAGTAGCAGATCCGTCCTTGCCATTTGTCGTTGCCACGGACGCGAGTCAGTATGGTGTAGGCGCCGTGTTACAGCAAGATGACGACAATGGCTACAAACCCGTAGAGTTCATGTCAGCGAGGATGCCCTCAAAGAAAGTAGTACCTCGACATACGAGAGAGAACTCTACGCACTCAGGCAGGCCTTAGAGCACTGGAAGCATTACCTACTTCGGAGACACTTCAAAGTGTATTCAGACCATGAGACTCTTAGGTGGCTGAAGACACAAGCCAAAATGACACCAAGTTGACTAAGTGGGCCGCTGAGATAGACCAGTATGACTTTGAGCTCAAGCCTGTTAAAGGCAAATACAATGTACTTGCGGACGCTCTAAGTAGGAGGTCAGACTACTTTGGAGTCATAGTTCACTATCTGCATACAGGGAGTGACCTGCAGGAGAAAGTTAGACAGGCATATGCGCAGGACCCTATTTATAGTGACCTCC